AGGTGTGGGGGCGGGGCGGCTGTTGCGGACTCAGGTGCGGGCGCAGGTGCGGGTGTGCGGCCTCCGGAAGCGAGGGGGCGCTGTGCCAACCGGCGGCAGTGAGGGGCGGGTGCGCTGCTCCTTCCGCCACGCGGGCTCCGGAAGCGAATTCACCGCCATGGCGCGGAACGTGCTGTGAGTAGGGGCCGCCGCCCCGCTTCCAGGCGCCCCTTAATGTCACAAGCAGACAGCCTTACATGGGAGGCGGGGCGCTCTGGGCCCCTTCCCTCCGGGTCAGGGCCCCTTGCACCCCCACTCAGGGCTCGGGGTGATCCCGCCGGGGTCGAGCATCCCCTGGGAACGGGGGTGGCCTGGGAGGTTGGCCTGCAGGACGAGGTTTCCCCCAGGTCACTAGGCGACGTCTCACACGCATGGTTATCACAAGTGGGGGAGTTGCTGTCGTGCGGGGGCCAGGTCCGAGTTGAGGGTACCGCAGTGCCTCCCTGGGCCTGGCGCTGGGGGCGGGAGGCCGCTGCCCTGCCTAGCCCCGGGCCCGCACGCCCACCTCACATTAGCTTCTGGCAGATTCCGGGGGTCGTAGGAACCTTGTCTTGCCCGACTTCTTGCCCAAAATTTAAGAAAGAAACTGCATGTTTCTTGGTGAAGGAATGAGTCCATGAATAAGTGAAGGGGTGTTGGCTCCCTGGTGTGTTTTGCGGGGACTGTAACATGTGTTTCAGATGTGACAGGTGCAGAGAATGGTCTGAGGGGTCAGGGTGTGGCATGGGGGGGGTTCAGCATAGAGCTGGGGAGAAGAGAGGACTGCAGGTGGGACCCTGGTGGTCGAGGTTTGCTGTAGACACCTGGGTGGGTGCTGGAGCCTGGGACAGATCCTGTGCCCTGAAGGAGCAGCCTGGCAGAGCCAAGGCCACTCACGTGCTGCCCCGTTTGCCAAGGAGGCTTTGGAGGGAAGCTGATGGGACTTGCCTGGGTGGGATGGGGCTGGGGCGGGGGCACGGGTGACTCACCCCCGGGGCCGTGGGGAAGCAGGCAGGTGGCAGCCAGCCAGGTTTTTGTGTTTTGAGGAGGGAGGAGAAATTAGGAGTTACACTTAAGATACATTATGTTTGAGGTGCTTATGAAATGCTGTGGGGAGCTGTCAGGGAGGCTGACTGGGCCTAACTTGGTGTGCAGGACTCAGGTGGCACAGGAGTTGCAGAGATAGCTGGAGAGGCCTGGAGCCTGAAGCATAAATTCTGGGGCCAGGAGGAGGCTGTCAGCCTTGTACATTGTTCCAGATCTACAGGCCCCAGGCCACAGATGGCCTGGGGATAGGGCTGGATGTGACCGTGGGAGACTGGCTCCCTCCCACTTCAAGCTGCTCACTGGACCTTCCCCAGGCAGCCTCCACCCCAGGCCCTCCGCCAAGCATACCCCTTAGGCCGAAGCCTGGAGGTTTGAAGAGTGAGGGTTGTGTGAGCCACTGTGCCCCCTTCTCCACTGTTAAGAAAGGGGTCTCCAATTGTCTACCCACCTGAAATGCCACAGTTGGTCACCAGGGGGAATATGTGAGCTCCTTTGGTGACCATGGGTCAGCCTGAACCTGTGGGTAAAATAAGGCAGCCCTTGTTCCCATGGGGCCTCAGGGGGAGCAGGGATGCTAGACCCCACTACTGCAAGCCCGCTCTCTGTATCTGCTGCTCTCCTGTGCCCACCCCTGCAGCCTGTGACCTGAGGTACAGAGGGGCTGAGGCCAGACCCAGAAGGATCTGCCAGGCTGGTGGCTCCCCCACAGTGGAAAGGCTTTGAGAAGTTTTTTTGCTACCAGCCTCTGTCCCCCCCACCCCTTGGCCCTTCAGGAGCACCCACCCAGGCCTTCAGCACTCATGCCTTCTCATCTTTCCTGGACTGACCCCCTTTCCCTCCCATGTACAGGACCTTAGGTTAATGTCAGAGGCCCCCGCCATGGCCCCTGTGTTCCCATGCCCACCTCCACCTGGGCTCCCACTGGCCCTGCAGCCTTCCCCATCCCTGAGGCTGGCAGGGCTCTCCTGGATCTGAGGAATATACGAGAACTTTGGGTAAACATTCTGTTCCACTGTCACCCTGGGGGCCACCTCAGTGGGGGAGAGGGGGCGTGCTAGTCCAGCTAGTGGTGATCCCACTTCTCTCTAGCTGATTTCTTGTTTGGACAGTTTGGGGTGGGGGATGTAGTGCCATCAGCCATAGTTGGTGAACCACAGCACAGTTTACTGAAAGCATAAACTTCTGGAGCCCTATCCTAGGTAGCCTGTGTTCTCCATCCTCAGGGACCCTCACCAGCAGGGTGGGTGTAGAACTGGCCTTAGTTTCATGCTGTGGTAGTCCCGCCTGGCCCTGCCTCACCTGAGCTGCAGGGGTGTGGGCAGGCCTGCTCCACTCAGGTCCATTCTCCTGGGAGAATTGGTGGCCTCAACATGTGTCGGAGCCTTGCTCTTATCCTGTTTGGAGGACGCACTTAATGGCTTCTGTTTGTTGAGTTCATTAGCCCTGTCCAAAGCCTGGCCCTGGGGGGTCAGCTGCTTACACCCCATTTGACACCAGGAACTAGGGCACTGGCTGCCCATCTTGGGCAGACCCACGCAGTGAAAATGGGGACTGTGGGGACCTCTGTGTCCTTTCCCCACCTCTGTTGAAGTGAGTAGATGCCTAGGGATCTACTGTGTCCTAAGTGTGTGACGTGGACCCAAGTCTCTTCTGGGCAGGTACCCTCTGTATCAGCTGGGTGGCCCACAGCTCCGGGTGTTCCGAACCAACTTCTTCATCCAGCTGGTGCGACCTGGCACGGCCCAGCCCGAGGACACTGTGCAGTTCCGGATTCCCATGGAGTAAGCCCAGAAGGAATCAGGCTGGGAGTTTGGGTCCTGGCTCATTGCTAACTCAACTCATAAGTTGGGGTTCTCTCACTGTGAGAACTGAGGGACTACTGATGCAGCTGGTGCCTACAGAGCCTCTGGGGCTTGTGACTGCCCCCACCTGGGAGGGTGGGGTCGCTGAGACTTGGCCCAGCTTCCCTGCTCTTGTCTTCCATGAGCTCTCACTTAAGCCCTTTCCCAGGAGGCTGGGTGGGAGCAAGCTGTGCTTGGCAGAGCCACTAGAGCAGCTTTTGAGATGCTACCTTGGACTTCTGGGTGCAACGTATACCTTGCCTTTAGGAGGTACACGGTGCACTATGACCAAAACTGGGGTGCTGCTATGAGACCTCAAGATCATAGGTTCCCAGCTCAGGCTTAAGTTGAGACAGTCTTGGACCAAGGTGGTGGCAGCATCGTCTGTGGAAGCCAACGTTGGCCCAGCCTTTACAGATGGGTGGGGCAGGCCTAGAGCCTGGGTTACAGTGATCATCCAGGCTCTGCTGAAAGGGGACATGGCCTGGACCCACTGAATCCTAGGTAGTGTTCAGCAGTGGTGCTGGCCTAGGGATCCACCTCCCACCCTCGTGCCGTGGCTCTATTCACGGCCTCTCCCTCTGGGAGATTTGTCTGCCCTCATGTTTTTATCTTTGCCTCAAACTTCTTTTTCTTTCCCCTTTACCTCCAGGATGACCAGGGTGGACCTCAGGAATTATCTTGAACGAATTTACAATGTGCCTGTGGCTGCTGTGCGGACGCGTGTACAGCATGGTGAGTGGGCACAGGGGCTGCTGCTTGTGCCCCAGGTGTGGACTCATACCATGGAGAGGGTCTCATTCTGACTTTGTACCTGGGGAAACTGAGGCACGGGGGTTATGGAGTGACTTGCTAGGGCCACACTATGCTTGAATTGGGGAGCTGGGATCAGAACTCAGACAGGCTGACCCCAGGTTGGCTCTGCGCTGTGCCCCAGCCTGCTCTATATCCACCACCCTTCCTGGCTGGCCTCCAAATTGGGGTCCCTCTGTGGAGGGTGGGGGCTTGTCAGCCAGGTGCTGTGTCTGTGAACAGTGCTGAGATCTGTCCACACCATGAGCCTGCTGTGCCAGGCACCTTCATGTCAGAGCCCCCCCCCCCACCATGGCTTTTTGAGTTTTTAAGGCACTTTAGCATTTTTAGTAGAGCAAAAGGGTTCATTTTAGTGGTGTTGCCCTCTACGGTGTAATTGCCTGATGGGAAATAGTTGCTGCTGTGTGCGAAGTGCTGTTCCTGTCTCTCCTGAGCCTTGCCCCTCTTTTTGGAAAGTAAATGGGTTCTTGGGCTAATTGGGCTGCATGTCTTGTACTGAGAGCTGGCAGTGAAGTTTCTTCTTTTTTCACCCCCTTCCAACAGGCTCTCACAGGAAAAGGGATCACAGAAATGTCAGAATAAAGAAGCCAGATTACAAGGTCGCCTACGTGCAGCTGGTGAGTGAGCGCGGCCAGAACAGGCCGGGGCCTCCGAGGGGCTCCGCACTACATGTCCTTGAGGGTTGTTTGTGCTGCAGCCACTGCCCTGGGGCCCAGAGAGGCCTGGGGGCAGGTCCCAGAGTCCACTGCGCAGTGCGGGGCCCCACATGGGGTCAGCCTGGGCATAGGGCCGTCAGCAGAGCTGGGAGGGGGGTTTGTGCTTAGGGAACAGATAGGTGCTGGGGTGTCTGGAGAGCTTGGCGGCCAACCGTTTCGTAATTTTGGAGTTCGAATGTGTTGTGGACAGAGGCAGACCCACCCCTAGCCTGGCGGGCTTGGCTCTGACACAAACCAGTGTCTGAGACTCGAAGGTCGCCCGCCTCTGGAGAGCTGTCCTTGGACAGGATCCAGGCTGGGGGCACACACTGGCGCAAAGGAGGCCTTGGTCTCAGTGTCCACACAGTTTGGGGGCATCCTTGGGGCCCCTGCAAGGAGGCCAACACATGCTCCGGGCTCCCTGCTTTTGCCTCTAACATCTGTTTCTGAGTGTGTGCTAGGGGGTCTGGGAAGAGGGTCCCCTGTGCCCCACATTGCATGGGGCTGTGTTTCCTGAGACTCAAGGAAACACAGCCCCTTTATTGTCAAGAGCGAGACCCACATTTTCAGAGCCTCTTTTCAGGCTGTTTATCTCAAGTCCTTTCCGTATGGACCAGAAGTCCCTGGTTAGTGCTCCTCTTTCTCCAGGCAGAACTCCCTCCAGCCTGTGGTATTACCTGTGTGGGAATCTTCCAGGGAAGCCCTCCCTGGGCTGGGATCATTAGCTGGCCCCCACTGTTTTGAACCCACGTGGTGGGGGTCCCTCCAGTTTCAGCATGATAGCCCCAGGGCAGGTAGGCGCTAGGTGGCAGTAGTGCTATTGTGAATGCTGTCTCCAGCTGCAGGGAGTTAGGAGGTGGCCGGTTAAGACTGGGTTGGCGTGTCAGCTTCTGTGAAAAACAGTCACATTTGTTGTTCTAAACAGGGGCCCCCTTAATTATTTGGCCTAATATTTGCCGTGCATAAAACCAGCCAATCCAGGTGGAGGGCGCAGCCACTGGCCTCACAAAGGCCCTTGTGTGCTGGGTGTTAACCCGGCCCATCTGTCTTTGTCATGCACGCGGGTCCACGTCCCATATGCAGGCATTTGCCACGAGTCACTTCAGAGGCAAGCTATGGTTACAAGTGGCTTTTGAGTCATCCGAGCCCTTACATTTTCCCTGGGCCCCTCCTCACTCATGAAAGCTGAACCCTGCAGCTCTTAGATCTGGCGTCTGCAGCTGCCACTTGCCCGTCTGTCTTCCTCTGGGAAGTCCTGTGGCCAGGGAGAGGCAGGGCAGCTGGGAGCAGGGCAGCCTGTTGGGCATGCTTCCTCCGCTCCAGAATTAGGATTTGTGACGGGTGCCCCCCTTCCTGAGCCCAGCAGTCTTCACACTGCCCCGAAATGGCTGGGGTGGTTGGTCCCGTCCACCACAAGGAGACCCAGGGCCTCAAAGTGGCTCTTTCTCTGTCCCCCATCTGCTAAGACTCCTTCTCCTGAGTGTGTCCCTTTGGGTACAGCAGATTGTAAAGCATGTGAAGGGGTGACCGGAAAGAAACACTGAGTTATTGAAGGTAGTGGGGCCAGTGCTGTGGCCAGGCCTGTCCCACGTGGTCAGGCTCATGCGCTTTCCCTGACAACCTGACAAACGTCTCCTTGGCCCTGGGAGCTGCCTCAGAGCCTCAGTTACCCACACAACAAAAAGGGCATTGACGCTGAGACCGTGTTTACACAGCAGCGTCTGAAGGCCCAGAGCATGTGGCCCTGGGCGTCTCCAGAGCAAACCGCCCGGCCTGGTGAGGGCACGTCCATCCCAGACAGAGCTCTCGGTACCTGAGACCCACCCGGGCTGGGCTGCACTTTCTCTGTGTTCCCCCTTATGCTTTTTGCTCCCCTGCAGCTTTCTTGCTCCTCTGTAGAAGGATTGAGGGTTTTACTTTTTAAAATATAGTGTGAATTTTTCCGCAAAGGAGAATCCCTAGGAAACCACATAGCACCCGCATGGCTTTTGTCTCCTGTGAGGGGTGAGCAGTTTCTCTGATCCACCTTCTCTGGTGTTTTCTCCAAACTATTGTAAATTGCTGTCGTGTTTGCATTTTAAAATGTCATTTTGGGTTCTTCTTTCCTCAGAAAAGTAGCAGAATCACCTCAACATATTAAACATGAGTCCCCCTCTGGGCACTCAGCCCTACCTGTAAACTGTTGCCGTTTGTTATTTTAAAAACAGGGAAAAGAAGTTTGGTGCCGTGTAAGATCATCTTCAGGCTGGTGACTGGGCTCCGGCACACGGTCCTGCCTTGGTCGCTGACCTGCATGCCACCATGTGAGGGTCACAGCCCTATTCAGGGTGGGGTCTGTGGATTCACGTGGTCTTGCCTTGGTCACTGGACTGTACCCCACTGCATGAGGGGTCACAGCCCTGCTTAGGGTAGGGTCTGTGGACTGTTGGAGGCCATACTTGGCTCCCTGCCCACGTCCAAATCTCTTCACAAAACGTGTGTGCAGGAGCCAAGTGCATATCCTAATTTTACTCACTAGGGTTTTCCAGGTTGGGCTGCAGGCTCAGCACTGCTTTACCTGTCTGGGGGCAGAAGGGCATTGCCCGGGGGACATGCTGCCCTCCTGCCTTTCACCCCTTAAACTTGGAGCTTAGTAGTAGTTAGCAGATTAAATGCACCTACATTTGCTTAGGTCCCCAAAGAGTAGGGCCCCTTCCTCTTCCCCAATGATGGTGTGCAGCCTGGTGCCCAGACCTACGTGCTCAGCGGCCTTGCCGGGGCCAGGCCAGTACTGGCCTATTCTGAGCTTATAGTGAAAAACATAGAACCAGTTAACGTGCTAAGCTGGCCTTGATTTATAGATTCTGCGTACATAGGCTTCTCTGTACGTTATGTGCCTTTGTTTGCCAAGCTCTGAGCGGGGGAGGGGAAGGCTTTTCTGAGGGTAAAGGCCTTTAGGTATTTGGATGCAAGAAGTCCCAATGTGGCACCAGGCACTGCGTCCTTCCTTCTGTGCCTCATTCCTGCCCCCACCATCTGACTGGGACCCCCCTCGGGTGAATGGCCGCTGTACTGTGCAGTTTTAATGAGCCCAGGATGGAGCAGACGCCAGCCATGAGGAGACAGTGTCAGTGAAAAGGGCACTGTCCGAGAGTGATGGCTTCCCGTTGCTAGATAAGAGCCGGAGGCTGGCGATGGCCTGGGGGATGTTTATTTTCCAGGCAGGGACATTGCTCTGGGGACACTGCCATGAGGGTCGAGGGTCGGGAACTGATCTCTGGGCCATTGACTTGACGCGGAGTGGGAGGTGCTGTCCCAGAGTGTGTGAGCCGCCCGCATAGGGCCTCCGCAGAGGGGCCTGCCGCCTCGCTGGAGCCCTGCTCTCTCCCCAGGCCCATGGACAGACCTTCACATTTCCAGACCTGTTTCCTGAGAAAGACCCGCGGCTTGAAGGCAGCTCTGTCGATGAAGCCCAGAGCACGTTCATGGCGGACGAGCAGCAGAGACAGGGCAGCGACCCCCAGCGTGGTGGCGTCCCCAACTGGTTCAGCCTGTGATAGGGCAACTGAGTGGTTTGACAGCCCAAATAAAAGTTCTGCTGTGTGGAGGAAGGACTGGAGCCTCTTGTCTTCTTCTGTTCTCTGCTTCTGTGTCTCAGGCACACAACCAAAGCTGTGTTGCCCTGCATGCATGGGGCCTGGGCAGTGGGGACTCTGGGTCTCATGAGTTGGCAGGGAACTGGGGGTTGGTGGCCTTGTGACGAGGGGAGCCCCACGCAGCCAGGAGTGGGACACACCAGGGAGAAGCACCAGGAGGGGGTCGCTTGCTGCTCTTGCTCAGAGGACCTGGCAAGAGTGGGCAGGTGGCGTAAGCACGGGTGGACCGGGCGAGAGATGTGGCAAGCTGTGGGGGGACTGGGGAGGAGCCCCTGTCCAGGCTGATGGTTTCGATGTGGCACAGTTGTTAGAGGGGCTGGGGAGGGATCCCAGGGCAGTGACTTCCCTCAGTCCCAGCAGGAGGATGGGAAGCCAAGCGCGGCCGGCTGTCCCTTCAAAATGGAGCAGAGGCATGTGTGTGTCCTGTGTGTGGGCCTTGCTCTGCAGGCCCAGGGCTGGTTGGGAGCCGCCAGGCCTGTAGCCCTGAGTCTGATGATGGTCGTGGCAGAACTGTCCTGTGGTGTGGGCCAGGTTGTGTGGGGAAGCCGGCCCAGGCAGTGCCCATCCCCTGAGCTGGAGTCCAGAAGCCCACACCCAGCCTGACCTCCATGCAGTAGACTGAGGAGTCCTCCTTGCTGTGTCCTGGCAGCTCTGATTTTGGAAGTTTGGAAGTACAACCAGGGATCATGGTATGGTTTGCACTGATCTGGGGTCCAGCGACACTTACCAGCCCTGTCTGGCCACACGGGACTTCGGGTCTGATTTGGGGCCCAACGTCATGGCCGTGGAGTGCTCAGGCAGCTTTCACAGCCATGAAAACCTGGGCACGCAGCCCAAATGCAGATGTGTCTGACTGATTTTCTACCCCAGCCCCCAGATTCAGGAGCTCACGCAAGGCCTCGCTTTGGGCCTAGCCTGTGGACAGGAGCTCCCCGGGTGAGTGGCTGTGAGAGGAGGTGCTTGTTGCTGAGCTGGAGCATCGATGCCGAATCTGTGTTACAGAGGAGGAGGCCCTGTAGGCCTACTATGCCAACATGGCCTTCAGATGTGTCAGTGCTTGTCATGTGGCCACATGACACCAGTGCCAGCTCTCGGCTGAGCACAGGAGGGCAGAAGGTGTCCGTGTGGTGGGGCTTAGGCTGTGAGTGGGCAGGCTGCTGTGACCTGTCCTGGGGATGCTAGGTCTGCCCCAGGAGGGGCATAGCCACAGGCAATTTCACACACACAATCAGAATAGGGCAGTGGGAGCCCCCAGGAGTGTGTACCTTTAGGTGTCCTCCTGAGAGGAGCAAGTGGCATGGGATTCAGGAAGCAGGCAGGAGAGACTAGCCTGGTGTGGTGATGTGAACCAGGGGCCTTGGGGGCCACCAGCCTCCCGAACTCAGGTTCCAGGCCCCATGTTGCAGCACTGGGCCTGCTGTGGTCTGAGCCAGGGGCCTGGGTTGTCCCTCTGCTGAGGTGGCCTCTGAGGACCCTGTGAGAAGAGTATGTGAAGCTGGCTTGGCTGCCCACCCCCACCCTGAGAACAGGAGGAGGGGACATTTAGAGAGAGGTGAAGGCCCGGGCATGCCGCTCCTTGTGTTAATTTAGAGGGACAGGGAGGTCAGGAAGCAGGGCCCGCGATGGAGTTGGCTTGTTTTCCTGAGCAGTGATTCATGGGGCCTGGAGCCCTGAGGACCCTAACTCATACAGGGGAGGGGACCATCCTTCATGCACTACATGGCCAGCCCTGCACACAGGGACCCTTGACTGGAGGAGGCACCAGGCTGCTCAGCTGAGGTCACATCCATCACAGCCGCTGCCCCCACCCCACCCCACCCCCGCCCCCAGCCCCTGGCCTGTGCAGGCTGCATGCCTCCCCTCCCCCGCCTGTGGAGGCAGCGACGCCTACAGCAAGTTGGGCTGAGGATGGGTATCAGGGGCCTGCTGCCGGGCAGGCGTGTGGGCACTGGTCTCCCTGCCCCATTCTCCAGACCTTATGGGACATCCCCTTTGTACCCTCTGCCCTGTGGATGACCTGCTGACCTCAGAAAAGGGCTGGCTGAGGGCAGAGGTTCTTTGAGCCCTCCAGGTGCTGAACTTGGGCTGTCCTGAGAGTATCCAGAACAGACTGAGCACGGGCACAGGAGGGCCAAAGAAGGGTGGTCCAGTCTGAGAAACTTCTCAGTTACCCATGGGAGGTCTGAGTTGGGATGGGCAGCAGACCAAAGCTTGCAGGTGTTTGTACATGTCTCCCCTCCTCCAGCAGGCAACTGCCCAGCTTCCCCTGGGCTCAGCCTCCTTGGGACTCAACCTCCCTCCCGGGCTGAGCCTCCCTCTAGACCCTGCATGCCAACCATGAGGCTGAACTGGGAGGGGTAGACAGGAGGGGCCGCTGGGTGTGCTGAGGTTCAGGGATTTAGGAGGGCTGCCCCAGATCCCCTGGGCAGCTCAGAGCCCTGACAAGCTGGGTGGCCCATCCCTTCCTATGGTTTACCCTGCCTCAAGGCTCAGGGAGGCGGGATGGGGCCCCATGGTAGTAACCTCTGTCCCTAACACAGTTCTCCCACACATGGGGGCCAGAGAGGGTCTCCCAGGATCCCCCAAAGGCTTGGCAAGACCCCTTTCTGACCCACAGCCTATCTATTGCTGCAGATGGAACTTGTGTGGAGAAATGGTAAGAGCCATATCCAGCCACTTGTGCCTGGACAACCTCTGGCAGGGATGGGACAGGGCCTGACCCAGGTGGATAGGGCTTTGCCTGTCCTGATACCCCATTCCTCGCAGCTAACTCCAGCAAATGGCCCTAGGGGGAATGTGCAGATAGCAGTGCCTGATACCCCATCTTGTATGTGTTTGTCACCGGGGGTTGGGGGGGTTTCTGTTGGCTTTGCAGGAAGCAGTGTAAGGCTCAGGCAGCGCTGGACGCACACTGCGTGCCCCACTCCTGTTCGAGCTGTGGCAGCATCAGCTGCATGGCCCACAGGTGTATTCCAGTGCCTGGCAGCCCAGGTGAGCACTGGGCTGTCTGAGTGGACTGGGGACCCCTCTGGCCACCATCCCTCCTGTGGGCATTTGGTTTTCCCTTTTGGGGACCAGCCACAAGCATCTCCAGGGTGGCTGTGCCTGCATTGCTCTGTAGTTCCACCTCCAAATGCTATCACTTAAGGCTCTAGCTGCAGGTGACCAGCCCAGGAGCTGGTGCTGGAAGAAGCCCCCACTGGGTGCCACCTTCAGCCCCCATTCCTCCCTCACCCGCTCTGCTGACACATAGCCTCTGTGGCTGGGGCTCCTAAAGTCATGTCAGGGTCGTCCACTGTATTATGTCCCCCATGGTGGACCCAAGCCCAGGAGCACAGCGGTTCCTGGTGAGCTGGTCACCTCGGTTCTGTAGCACTTCAAACATTAGGGGTAAAGAAATTAGGCCCCCTGACCTGGGGCTCCCCTCCCGCCGTCCTACTTTTATGTGACTGTAGACTGCTTCAGGTGAGCGAGCCAGCAATGAGTGTGGCTGCATGGAAGGCCAGGACACCAGGCTATTCTGGCGAGCTGGACAGTTTCAAGGGGCACGGCAGGTCCAGGCACCTTGGCCTGGTGTTGCTCGTGGGCACTGGCCGAGTGACCTAACCCCTCTTTCACACCACATCAGCGGGCAGCAGTGGCCTTGGACTTCTTGTCTGTTTTTTAAGTGGCTTTATTGAGATGTCCACACAGCAGATTGTGCACCCTTTACAGTGTGTTCCCAGAGGCGAGTGTCGTGAATCACTGCACATGATCCCAGCATACTTTCTCCCCGGGAAGCCACCTGCACCCTTAGCTGCAGCCCTGGCCCTGGCAGCCACTGACCCGCTCTGTGGTTTTACCTACTCTGGATGGTTCATGTAACAGGGTCTTTACCTACTCTGGATGGTTCATGTAACAGGGTCTGTTGGGCCTGCTGTGACTGGCCTGGCTCACTGAGCACAATGTCCTCAGGGTCCCAGAGCCCCTTCTCTTTACGGCTGAGCACTATTTCCACATGGAAAGGCCACGTCCTGTTACCTACTATCCATGGATACTGGGGCTGCTGCCACCCCTGGACCACTGTGTGTGGTGCTACCAGGAATACACAGTCTCCAGGGCACCTTCTGGCCTGTAGCTCGGAGGTGTGGCTACACCACCCTCACCACCAGGAAGGCGTTTTCAGTCCCTAAATCACCTAGAGGTGGTAGAGGATGGCCCACTTGCTCAGACTGCCTCGCTGGGAGGCCCAGGTGGGGGTTGGGGGAACAAGTGCCATCACCATCCGGCAGCTTCTGGTGTGGGCCTGGGTGGGGTTCCAAGTGGCCTAGAAGCTGGGGGGAGGATTGCACACAGCTCTGGGAGCTCTGCCATGCTGGGGCCCAGGTTGGCACAGGAAAGGCTCTGTAGGATAGAGGTGCCCAGCCTACGGCCTCTGGTTGCCCTGTGTGCCCACAGCCCACCTGCCCTGCTCAGCCACTACTCTGCCCCTAATCCCAGGCCTTTGTGCAGCTGGCTCTGCACACATGGGATGCACTGTTCCCACATGCGGCCACTGGCTCAGGGTGCAGCCCCACTGCTATACCCCAACTGTAAGTTTCTTCAGGGCAAAGAATCGTTCTTTTCTATTTGGAAAAAAAAATAAGAAGTTAACTGATGACTCCATACTGAACCTCAGAGTCAAAGCATTATCTATAACACACATACTCTTATTTGACAATGTGAATGTTACTTTCTTTGCATTATTATTATTATTGCTTAATATTTTGATGCAGCAATTGTCTGATTTTTTTCCCGAATGTATTTATCTTCGTTCGTTCTTCACGAGGTTTTTGTTTCTTGTCCTTATCTTAAACATTGTTATTGTTGTTAAATTTTAAGCCTTTTTAATTTTGTGAAGGCAAAAGTAGAAACCTAATTAACACATGTATATGTAAAAACATAATAAATAAATAAATGCAAGAACTGTTCTTTTCTAACGTGT